CATCACTGAACATTCATTGCAATTCAGTTATGTGGGCCAGGATTATGCTGAATATGCCATATAATCTTATCCAAATATTCCTCGGTATTTCACTTAACGTAGAGCTGCCATGAAAGATACAAGGACTTTCTGTGCCCAGTTTTCTCACCAGTGTTTTTATTTTCTTGGACTCTGCCTCTGGTTGTTGACTCTATGCCATCTCCTTTGCAATTCTTTAGAGTCACAGCACCACAGAAGATCCTTGTGCCAAATAATTATGCATCTACTTTCTTGTGCAGGACTACCTAAAGAAAAGTTAACAGTACATGACATGATTTACCAAATGGCCTCCTCAGACACAGCATGTCTTATTTTGTGTGCCTGTAGTCAATTCAGACACTCATTTAAGGAGCTTTCCATGAGCCAATTGGGCTCAGATGGTTGAAACGTACTTGAATCCTGACTCAATTTAATGCCACAATATGGTTTGTGAATGGAAAACAAAAAGTAGTTTTGACTCTGCCTAAGAATTTTTGGAAATTTCTGCTGCTTTACTATTTTTAAAGCTTTTATTTTAGCACAAGTGTGTGACTTTCAAATTATCCTGAAATATTAAGAATAGTAGTCATTTGCTGAACAGGTTTACACAAGTATAAAAACAGACAATTACATGAAAGAAGACAGATTTTGAAAGTTTCAGCACCACAGAGACTGATGGAAAGACTGGCGCTCAAGGTTTCAGCACCAGGGACAGAGGCACGGAAAATGGAAAGTAAGCAAGGGAACATATGAGTGGAGGGACTTCTTTACACCACTGTGTTAAATAAGAAATACTTCAAGTATTATGTTAGCACAGGATGATGAAAGTAGCAATGAAGAATGACGGGGGAGAAAGAAGAAAAGAGAGGTAGGTGTGTGCATGATGTAAATAAAGTCTCTTTGAAGAATGGTTCAGCAAAGTCTAACTCTCTTTGAGGTTTGCAACACCCAAGCATCTTCAAAGACAAATCTCTGGGGACAAAAGACCGTGTCCAACACAAGCGTACACTCAGCTTTTCACGTGTTCATTCACAAATTTGTACAACAGAGTGCAATAAAAAAAAAAAAAATAAATCAACATTTGCAGATAACCCTCCTTACGCTGTACCTTTTTGCACAAACACAGAAATGTTTATGTTTAAAGTGTTTTTGAGTGGTTTTTGTTTCAAATAACACATTTCAAAGGCAATATTTGTTCCAATGTTTATAGTATACAGAGACGTCTTGACAATGAGTCAGTATTAGACTATTTACAATAGGGGCAATACGTACAATCAGATTGGGTAGGTGAGAGAGCAGCAAGGCCAACCATCAATCGTCAACCTGGTGTCTGTTATAATGCTGCACTATCCAGTGGACTTGCTCCTTGAGCTCAGTGGTGCGTAATCACACAACAGCCTCAGATCTAACTGTGACTCTTAACGCACTCTCGTAAGGTGCTTCCCAATTATATTTGTTTAAGTGGGTTGTTTCACATCCACAGCAGTCATCTCATCCTATGACTTCAGTGGGTTCAGTTATAGAACTGCTGAGTGGACTGTTTAGGTTGAGAGAGACCAGCTTTAAGGCAGAAATGTACTGTCAGAGCTTAAAACTCAAGCACACTTATTTCAGTTATGCTCTCATTTAGGAGCTATATAAAAAAAAGCAAAACAGGAACTTTTTTTAAGGCAGGAAAATAAAGGGAAATTGAAGTGAAGTCGTACAATTAAACAGAAGCAAGTCTTCCAGGAAGGAGAGATTAAACCAAGTATGATATGTCCAAGGCAGCAAAATGTGTTGTTTAGCCCATTGGCATTGTAGTTGTTCTAATTCAGCAGAAGCCACAACAGGATCCTACGTTCTTCTTCAAACATGCACAGCCAGGAGCGCTTCCTCTTAAAGGTCTGTGTGAGATTTGCACACTGCCGTTGATGTTTAATTGGCTACAGCACTCGATTGAAGAGAACAACATAAGTTTGAATACACAGGAGGAAAAAACAGATGCTCTGTTGGTCAAGCTTCTCAGATCAAATGACATCTAACAGCTACGTGAGCTTTTGACACATAATTTTTTTAAATTTTTTGCAAAGCTTCAAATACTGAAACCTCTTTTGTCAAGGTAATTCGGCGCTATAAATTCCATCCAGCATACCCATACTGGAGATTTTTTTTATGCATGCTTTAATGCTCGATGTGGGAGTGAGGGTTACATTCAAAATACTCCAGTGATGGTTGTGCTCATCTGACTGAAGGAAAATAAGCTCAAACGTAATGTTTTCTCTTGTGAGCAAATACAAAGACAGAATTTATTACATCTTCAAATAAAAGATTGTACCTGCTTTGACATGCATGAGGCAAAGCAAGAGTCCCTCTTGCATCCTGCTTGGTATAAAATAGTTGCTGATTTGTGGAATATGCAAATACATGTATATCACAGGAACCCTTAATTGTTGCTCGATATACCAAAATCTGGTCAGTCAGCACACTGTGTTTCAGAAAATATTGGTGTTGACAAGTTTTAGGTCTCACCTTTGCACCAGGCATCTTTATTTAACATCTGCTGCTTTGGCTGAAATACTTGCGACAGAACATTATTAGGCTGTAACCCATTGTAATTATGGAAGTCTTAATAAAACAATCTGAAATGTAAATATTCCACTAATAAGGGAAATGTATACATTTACTGAAGCTTATTTTTTTTTCTGTAAGCAGACATTGGCTCAAAGTTGGACTTCCCAAGCTTTGTGATGTTGTAAAGCTGCATGAAGTCAAGTATAACTGTCAGTTTATCAAGGCCATTATATAGGGAGAGTCTCAGATATTTTTTGTGACCAGAATTTATGAAAACTGAAACAATTCTGCCTTTTTCCAGTCAGTCAACATACCCGCAAGTCAAACTGACAACACTCTTCAGTGTGGAACTTATTTCCTACAGAACCCAACAGGAGCTTTTCTACTAATCAAGAGAAAACAAAAAAAAGCTGAATTTTGATTAACTCCAGAAGTATGCAGCAGTCTCGAATCTCCTTCATACATTGTGAGATGTTGTCTCTAATATAAATGATAATACCAACATAAAGTGCATTTGAATAAGAAACAAATGAACAATTTAATAATTTCACACATACAGTAATAGCAATATGTGCCTTATTTGCTGTCAAATATTGAGTTAGACATTTTAATGTATTTTGATCAGGAGGATTTAACTGGACTTTGTGGATTTTCAGTGTTACAGGAAACAGTTATGTGGCTTAGAGCTGTTCAGCAAGAAAATCTTTTTACTCCTACTATTTTATTATAAACATACAAGGTTATCCAATAATTTTATTATCATTTAGATTAGGAGGAGAGACAAAATCACACAGTGTGTGAGGAAATTTGATTATTAATGAGCAATCAAAATAATCTAAAATTGCTGTCAACACGTTTGCAAAATATGTGCATCTCCACTATTGTATTTAGCTTTTCCAAGAATTAATTTTGTTTTATTGTTTCCCAGGTGCACAGAGGTTAATCATAAAATACTGCATATGAAGAAAAAGGAATGCAGGGGAAGCTAAAGTTTGTAGTAGGCTCAATACAGCAACTCGTAACATAGTGTGAATTCTACTACATCAGCACCATGTGCCCAGTTCATGTGCCTGTCAGGAAAATAGGAATCCTTTGGAGGTTTGGATAATGTTATCAACTCCTGGAGGTTAAAAGCATCTGTGCATGCTGGCATTTACAGACTTACAGACTGACACACAGTCCAATCATGCTGCACAGGATTTTATTTTATTCAAATCTCCTTTTCAGTCTGAAAAATATCAGCACTTTCTATTATATCTATTATACCTTGGTTAAGTAGATAGCAGCAATAGGGTAGTAATCCCATTAGTCCCTATGTCATTATAAATAGTGTTTAAATTTAATGATCAATAAAAATTTGCTTGTAATTAGATGCGAAGATTGAGCAACTAATGATAATACAAATTTTACAACTGAGTAATGTTATTTAAATATTAGAACATTTAATTACTAAATAGTCACATAACATGAATTTAATGATTACATAGTGACAGTTGTCTGTCATATTTATAATTAGGAAATAAATCTAAAGATAATCTGTCAACTATGTAGCAATAGAATAGTAATGCTGTATGCATTAATACAATGTTTATCATAGTGCACAAATTTAATTAAAACTGAAACAATGGATACTAATGTTGAACAATCAAATTTTAACTGCAAATGTAAAAAGATGCTTCTGTCTCCACCAATACTATGGCTCTGCCCCCAGGCTCACTTAGCTAACCAATGAATCCTAGTTCAGATATATAGCAAAACTCCAAATAGAGTCCTTGTGATTCCAAACTTTTTTCATTTCTAAGCAGTGGCTACCAGGGTGATTTTAGCTATGTTTAGTTGTGACAAGTATTTTTACATACTCATCCAGATTTGTGCCCTGAAACAAACAGATCCCAGGTCCAGAGACATACATTTAACTTCATTGCTTGGTTGCTTCTTTGATGTGCTCCGTCAACCGTGAAACCTTGTTTTCCAATCCAAATCATGTTCAGTCAACTGAATTTGCCACAGGTGGATTGTGTTCAAGTTGCAGAAGCATCTCAAGGATAATTGGTGGAAGTCGGAGAAACCAGAGCTCAATTTTGAGCAAAAACAGGTGAATGTATGAGTGAGTATCTGTATTGTTTCAATATTTATATTGTTATACATTTAAAAATAAAAATCTAAGATGTTTTCCCTTTGCAATTTTAGCTATTTTGTGTAGACTTTTAAAAGAAAACCTAAATCTATTTTGGAAGTGAAAGGTTCTGGACAACTTTTGTTGGCACTTTATGTAAAAGTTTTAGATGCTGAAAGACAGTTTCTCTAAAATTAGTGTAGCTGTGTTGACTCATCATCCATCATCTTTCAGTGACCTCTGTTAAATGGTCTGGAAGAAAAAGAAAAAGAAGAAGAAGAAGAAGAAGAAGAGAAAAAAAAAAACACCTCACCTGCGTTCCTCAGCTTGCGGTTCCTGAACACCGAGATGATGACCAGCAGGTTTCCTAGCACATCAACCACTGTGGTGAAGATCAAGACACTGGCCAGGATAGCAATGACCCAGGCAGGGCGAGCGGTGCCCTCTGCGGACAGGCTGCGCTCCAGCTGCCCCAGCCGTGGCTCTGTCCGGTTCTTCAGAAGCATCAACGTGTCCGGCATCACTCGGTCCACAGCGCGAAGCTGCCCGCCTCAAGTCCCCCGCTAAAGTGTTGATGTTTTTTTCCCCTCTCTTTTTGTTATTATAAGTGTATTTTTGTTATTATTTCAACGTCCCACCGGCACCGTCGGTACCGGTGTGTCCTAGATGAAACATGGAGCGCACCCTTCCCCAAGTTCCACGAGAGCGCAGGTAAAGTCCGCTACTTAAAGGCGACAATTAGTTGCTGTGGTGATCACGTGTGACGTATGAAGTTGTACGGACTCTTGGTTTCCTTTTTTCCCTCACATCTTCAGAAACAAAGTGACCGGTCCACGTCCCACAACAAACGACACACGGCCACGGTGCCACACCTCCTGCCACGAGAAAGAAATGTGACATATTTCTTTTTCAGAAAATAATTTTCTAAGAACACGGCTCTTGTTTCTGAACTCTTAATGTGACGCCTTACCTGACTTGCTGGTTGGCATTTGTAAATCTCCGTCTGCGTGTGCTGACAAACAAATAAAAAAAGGGGAAATAAAAATGGAAAAGCGAGCGATTTCCTTGTGAGCGGTCAAATGGCTGAATGGCTGGGTATATTTCTGTGTTCAACGTGCAGCTTAGTTTATCTTCTTTAGCGATGTGTGACGTCCTGCCCATGTACAGGACCATACAGCTTAAACGACGCAACTGGAGCTGACTGTAGCCAAATATCACACAGTAGCAGCCGCCGGTGAGACACTGATGATGATAATGATGATGATGGTGATGATGATGATGTGGAGACATCCACAGAGTGAGGATGGAGCGAAGACTTGCCTCTTTCGGTGTGACTGGGTGTGTGTGTGTGTGTGTGTGTGTGTGTGTGTGTGTGTGTGTTTGTGTCCCTCTCTCTCTTTCTCCTTCATCCCCTACTCTGCGTGCAAACAAAATATTTTCCATTTTTGCCCCGCTGTATTTTATTCCAACTCAATCCCGGCGTGACCTCCCAGAATCTGCCTTTCATCTCGGCACAATTGCTCGGAGGTTCTCCGACTGTAAGCAGACAGAGTCGGGTCGGTTCGGGAAATCCAATGATCACGCTGTGACTTCGCGTAATCTTTGCTTTTTTCTTTTTTCTTTTTTTTTCCACGGGGGTGAACGGGGAGGACATTTTGAAAGTGAAAAAGATTAAATCAGACATGTTGCCGCTGTGTATGTTTCTCAAATTCTAATTTTAGACGTGAAATAAATTACAGAAACGCTAAATCACATGGAGGTATATGGATTGTATGAGTTGTAAACACAGCTGTGTAATTTATCGATTGGATGAATGCTGGAACAGTGCGCACACGTTTCTGGACTCTGGAGTATTTGTGAGCAGGAGAGTCATAGCAAGTGGAGGTGGCAGTTTAATCCCATTCATGCTTTACATGGGTGACTGAAAAGGGTGTGAGACTGGGGGCAACAGTGCAGTCAGGCTCTCTGGATTCATAAGTTATCAATTATCTGTGTCAGTTGCGACACATTGGGGCCAGAGCCATCACTCCCATGTTTAACCCCTTGCTGCTGGTCTGCAGCTGGATGCCCTTAAAAGTCAGCAAGCGGAGATTAGAGATAGCCTATAAAGAAAAGCTGATGGGGTCAGCAGGGTCTGATGTGATGGCCAGGAGACAGACATCTCCCTGTTGCGAGGTCAGTCGGAGCAGCCTGTTCTTACATGTAGATGCATTTTATATGGAAACACATTCGGGCTCATAGAAATACTGCACATCTGAGGAAAAAGAAATCAATGCCATGGGAGGAAGTAAAAGAAGCAAAAGTTTGCTAATTGAAACTCCACTTCCCTGGCAATACTCTGCTGGCCTCATAGATGTCTGGATCTATATAACTACATTACTTTTCAAAAATATTAATTTACAATAAAGTTAAAGATATTGTGCAAAGTTGGATTTTATTAGTTTAGTGCATAATTTTGAAGTGGAAAGAACTTGATACATATATCTTTATTCTTCTTATAAAATCTAAAGAAGGGAGCATTTAAAAGTTTTCATTTCGTTTGATACCCCTAAATAAAATTTAGGGCAATCTTTGTCTGTGGAAGTCAGAGGAAGCACATTCCAATTTAGGATAGTTTAATCCATCCATCACGAGAGGCAAGATACACCCTGGACAGCTGCATGTAGTTCAATCTGTATAAATGCAGTTACTCTGTAAAGGCGTCAGAGCATTGATTTATAACCTCAATCAACAAATGGCATTATGAAGACCAAAGCTTAAAGCTAATTGTGAATTTTAACAGAGACATCTACTCAAAGTCTGACTGAGCTCCATCTACTCCAGAAAGAGAAATGGGCAAACATTTCAGTCTCTACACCCATGAAGCTTGGTGCAATTCCCCCAAAAGTCTAGCAACTGTAATGGCAGTGTAAGGTAGTTTTGACTTTAGGCAATATGTTCTGATACTGAAACCATATATCCTTTCCTCATCACATTACATGTACAATGTTCATCTGTCACAAAAATCTTGACAACATACATTCGTTATTGTGGTTGTAGTGTAGGAAATCCCAGAGTGTGAGCAGTTTCGCAATCCATAGTAGTTTTTTTTTTTTTATGTGTGTGCATGTGTGTTTTTCCGATGGAATGAACTCTTACAATAATGGCACTGACTTATTATATAACAGTGAAATCACACATTATAAAAAATCAGGAATATAGTAACATTAGGACAAAAACTGTGTATCAACACCATCCTCTCCAAAGAAGAAAAAAAATGGGAACACAGCTGCTCCATATGGTTACATTCTGTGTGTGGTGACCTACAGAAAAATATGGCTTATTAATATTGATGGCACAGTGTTTCTTTGTTTCGAGTCATTGTTCCACATAGAGATTTGTTGGATCTGCCAGATGTTGCAGCCAAAATAACGTCTGGGGAGGGGAATTTCAAGACAAGGAAGGGAAACCAGCTAGGCCAAAATAGAGATGAGACACTTTTATTATTTTTTCTGAATATTGTTGTATGTTGAACCATGTCTGTAATTCTGATGTACAAGAATATTGTCCATACATACCATTACCACTATTCTATGGTTAAATGTCCCCAGTAAGTTGTAGAGCAATGATAAAATTCTGACATTTGTTTCAATTTGTGTACAATTGACAGAATTGATTAAAACGAGTATGTTAACTGTCACAGATCTATGTTTTGAGAACAGTCCACAAGTTTATAGCAGGGTTGAAGTTTAGACTGTTCCAGAAGCTTAATATTAGTTTGTTATCCACTCCAAAATACATTTTAATCTATTTTTGGAATCATTTTTCTGTTGTTGCACCTAACTTTGTTCATATATCTAGATTTTGATTTGAGATGACACAATGTCAGTTTTAATGGTTATTAAACAGACACATAGCATGCCACCGTGCTTGATAGATAGTGCGGTGTTCTTAGGTTTTAGTTATGTACTTCTTGGCACTGCAACCAAACAGTTAAGCCTTTGCCTTCTCTGACCCTAAAATTATTCTCCAGAAGGACTTTGGACCTTGTTCTTCCGGGAAGCAACAAATGTCAGGTTCCTAAACCAACCATTCCAAATTAGTTTGACAAATTTTGCCAACAGGAATCATTACATATGAAGCTGGCACTACACCTGAAGGTTGGAGATAACTAAAACAAAATAATCTGATCAAAGTTCAACTTGCTAATTTCAACAAATGTCAGTGAGGTCCTATGTTTATGTTTGAGTTTGTATGTTTGATTTTGAACCTCTGTAGAAAAAACAATAAATTCATACTTGTTAATATATTTTCTGTTGTATGATAATTTCACAATGAAAAAGAATGACTCCACAAAGGCCCAAAATTAATAGCACAGTGATCGCTATGGTAATCATACATAAACCAAACTGTATAGTTGATTTTGCATTGTGTGACCATCTTCAAATGGTCACACAATGGCACAGTGTTACCATTGTGCCATGCTATTTGATTTGACATATATTTAAGAATATATGTCAAATCAAATATCAAGACTTTCATTTAGATTGGTTGTAAGTCAGTTGACCACATTTGCACAGAATACAAATATTGCAGGGAATTTGGTGGAATTGGGTCTTGAGCCAAAGAACACATAAAGAGATTTTGATGTAATCTGGATTTTGAATTTATGTCATTAGATTACCATTTTGAAGTCATAACATGGCAAACAGATAAAACCTAGGGAGGGATGTTTTAGGTTTGTATGACGCTCAACAAATATAAAGAATGTAAGTGTGATTGCATAATTTATATATTTTTTTTCTCTAAGGCTGTGGAACACTAAGAGGTTTTATTTTCACACACTTCAAGTGTGCTAAGGTTATTTTAACATTTGACTCATCACTTGGAGTGAAAGGGTTTCTACAAAAGGCCTTTTAGGTTTCCTCAGTCCAACAAGAGCCTAATAAAAATCACAGCAACTTCAGCATATCTTGATGCGCATTCTGCTGGCGAGTATAAAAAGCCCTGATGATCAAAGCACAACATAAAGCAGGCCTTCTTCTTAATAAAATCAGATCTCAGCAATCTCAAGGGTGACAGTGTACCCATTTCTTGCAGCCAAAGGAGATAACGAGCTGAGCACTGGGGCCCATGATGCTGCCAGTTTTCTCTGGAGCATGTTGATCTATCATTCTGTCTCACCTCTGTTTACCTTTGTTTACAGCTTTGGACTAAATTGGCAAAGCATTGAAATGAAGTACTGTTAGTACAAGGACGTTGTCAAATCAGCACATAACAGCTCAAGCCAAGACCTAATGAGGGTAGAATAAAGAAGTGCAGAAAAATGGAATTCAGCGTTTATTTCCCTGGTTTTGTTTGACTTGCAGAAATTATGCATTGGTATAAAATACATATAAATAAACAATGAATCAAATAAATGTGTCCATGTTTGAAGCAAAGACTGATTTCTAATGTTTTGTACATTTGGCATAATCCAACAATATTTATCAGCTTTCATTTTGTAAGAAAATACAACAGGGGACATTAAGTGTGCGGTTAACTTTGCTGTTTCTCACATTGCAATTTTGCAGGCATATGCCAGTGCATTGCCTTAGTGATAATCTCTCCAAACAGCAAGGGGAGGGTTGTGAAGGGATTGGGCCAGGACACAGCTTTGTGGATGAAGGCAGAGTTTGGATGTGACCTTACATACTCTAACATGTACAGTAGGAAAAAAAAAACAAGTATTGAACATCTCAATTTTTTCTCAGTAAATACATTTTCAATTAGCTTATTGACATTAAATCCACACCTGATGTTTTTCGCAACCCAAGCAACCCACGCTTACAAAGTAACCAAATCAAATTTATCCACAGGGAACAGGTATTGGAAAAAAGGAGTAGTTTTTCATAGAAAATGAAGAATATATGTTAAATCTGACAGAATTTAGTAAGAAGTCCTGCTCCTATCAGTGTTAGTTAATATTAACATAAGTCATGAATCTGATGTCATGGCCTCCATCCACATTCACTGTGCAAGCCTCCAACCTATTTTACAAGAAGCGTCTTAAGATGGGAAAAAGCAAAATGTTTATAACCATACTGTTGCAACATATAGTCATCCAACAAGTGGCAAAGTTTGACAATTTTTTTTACATATTCACACTTTCCTTAGGAGCAAATGATTATTCACAAAAGGCATGGACTTTGATGGAGTTTAAATGACCGGATCTGATTTCATCCAATCACAAAGGTTTGCCCGTGACACATATAATTCGTCAGCTTGATGATGTTTACC